CAGCCATATTCGATCAAATTGCCATAATAGTTCGTCAAACAATACACTGCCAAGTCACAGAATTTATTTTGAAGACTTTACTACAAGAAGACACACTTTAGCAATTATATAGAAATTGCTTCAAAGTGAATTACATATATGACATTAAGTGACTCACCTTAACAATATCTTTTAATGGTTGTACATCCAGCAACGGTAAAAATGACTTCATAGAGGCCACTTCAAGGTATGCTGTGTCTGAGTATGTCACATATAAGACAGCTGCAATTCCATACACCTGGCAGTAATTTAGAACTTAGAGAAACAGACAATGTATGTAAATATATAAATGATATGCACATGCTTTTTGTGGTTATTAGCATAACCTTGTTATGGCAGGGTATATGTATGTATATGAGATCAGGAACCTTTCACATGCAACAACAAGAAACTGCAGGCATTCACAGTGACAATTTATGACAGCCCTGGTACGAATTTTCTATTCATTTTGACTTGGTAGGACTTTCATCAGGCGATGTGTTGGTCACCGCAATGCGTTCTGTTCAATATGGGACACATAGTGACATATACAACACATGTAAAATACATTACGCTGTACAACGATCATTGCCTTTTCAAGCCAAAAATATCACTGACAAACTTACAAGTCCAGTTATTTGAATGCATCTGCAATAGCGCAAACTGAACCAAGTTTTATTAGCCACTACATAATCCAATGGCAAAAGTAAACACACAAAATAGAAAGCATGGAGTCTGTCAATCAGGCTATAACAAATGCCAAGTCAGACTTGTACAACATACAGTGTACCTACTGATCCAGTTCCCACTATAAGCTTTTAAATTCTGATAATGAGCAGAAAAAAAACTTTGCATTACATAGTCACCACGAGTCTAAGATCTTGACATGATGTGTGATGCATATAAAAAAAGTTTAAACATGTTTTCTTAAGGCATGTCATCACAAGACATGTCATTACAAAAAAATGGTTACCAGTCGGCCATTTTGAATCTGATCGAAATGCAAAAAAGACATGCATAAAGCTCAAATATTGTCCAATGCATGTGTCAATTATACTCAAAATTTATCTATACATGACAAGGATAAAATTCCGGAATGGCAAAAATGCTTGATTTTGATGAATGTTTAGCACAATAATGGCTGCCATTCAGCCATATTGAATCACATATGCAATGTATTTGAATGGATCATTCTAGGCAAGTCTGGGATACAGGTGTGAATACACACACACATATGGACACCTAAAGGTCAATCCATAAGTCCATGTTTTCTAACCTTGTCTAAACAGGAAATAAAAATGTCTGCTGAAGTTGTCATATGTACTTACTTGCAGCTGGGAGATCAGCAACAGTGTTGGGTTGTGAAAGATATGGACATACTGGTTTGGTTTTCAATGTACTACTACACAGGCAGTTCAAGAATGGTGTTGTGTGGTTCCGTGAGTGGGATTTGTACTCAGTGACTTGTAACGATGATAAGATAATCACTTGTGATGACTGTTTTATATTTGAAAATACCTGTTACATGTATGACAGAAACAACTATTAGTGAGTGATCTACAAAATATGTGTCAATGTATTGACCAGGTGAATACTCAATTGTTTTTTTTTTTTTGTGCTTAGGCCAATAAAATTACCAATGGTTTTCACTCTGCTCTTATCTACTGTTATGTCTCTCAGTGTCAATATGGTATGATAATCTTTATATCAAACATATTGTCAATATTGATAAATTTATCAAAGTTAATGTTCATCAATAAAGACAATACAATGTACATGTTAAACCAGATAGTAACACGAGCTAGATCACTGTTGGTAAGTTTGCCGAATATACACGAGATCCTGCCAGGAAATTTTGAATGAATATTCATTAGCTCAAACATATGGAATATATCCGATACTAGTGTGTGGAGTGTTATTCTATCTTGCAGAGACCAAAAGGAAGAACTTGAAATTGAATGCTGATGCTAGGCAAATACTAATAAGACTATTCATTGATCTCCAAGCACTACCTATGAGATTATTCATTGATTTTCACATATAGAACATTTGCCCCCAGCATGCTTAGCGGTTGAACACATGATAGTTAAATATCTACAAGACTCTGCCTCAGCGTTTTAAATGAATAAAATACATTCATCAAATATGTTAGATGAGACAAAGAAATAATTTATAATGAATATTAATTTCATGGTAATGCATTGCATGATGATTCAAATATCCATATAAATTCACTTATTATATTGGTTTTGGCTGAATTTGAATATATTGAGCAATCATCAATCTTAGCAAATACATCCAATAGGATTCTATGTACACATTGATGATATATCAATGATAAATATGTTTTATGTAACACTTTTCACACCATGTCATACATGGCCACCAGATGACCATTTTGAGCCTGATGTTGACACACAACATGACATGCATTCAGATCTCATAAAATTCAGCGTGCATAACAAGTCTGGATAAAATCCCTCTATGCATGACTGAGATCTAGATTTTAAAATTAAAAACAATCGCAATTCAGTCATTGTGAAACGGATAACCAAATAAGTAAATAAGTGCAACATGATGTATCATATAAATTTGAACATTTCGAAATCCTGGTTCAGAATTGCAGAAATACCTGATTTTGATGAATTTTCAACATTATTACAATGGCCACTATACAGCTATTGCAAAATAAATATATGTGCAAATGTGTAACATGGTGTATGATGTATATAAAGTCTGAATATGTTTGTTCTGGGAAAAGTCTGGAATATAGAACCAAATTTATCAAAACAAAATGGTCACTAGGCTGCCATTTTGGATACTAAATGAGAAACAAAATAACTTACACTCATGTCCGATAATGTCAGATGTTTGTATCAAGTTTGAACAAAATCCATCCATACGAAACTGAGATCCAGTTCCAGAATGGCAGAAATACTTCATGAATTTCTAGCACAAAAATGACTGTCATTCAGTCATGTTGATTCAAATCGTGATACTGTACATACAAACATGTATTTAATACATTTTTGAAGTTTGAATGTGCACGGACCAGGCATGTTAGAGATACTGGTGGAGATGCACTGACAGACATACAGACACATAAAGGTCACAACACAAGTCCTTGTTTTCGATCAGGGACTTAAAAAACTTACCTGTTGTGTCCAAATAAATGCCTGCTCTGCTGAGACTTTGCTATTACACTGACACACCACTATGTCACGATGCTGCCTAAGTCTATAGATGAAGCATGATTTATCTGTATGCATTGTTTGTGAGAAACTGTTACCATCGGTTTGTTTCATGCCACTCACTACCACACCAAGGGTGTCATCGTCTTTACTCAGTACGTACGACTCAATAAAGCCTGGTGAATTTAAACAAAGATAAGTTAGAATAAACATTCTTGATAATTAAAGACCAGTAAGCATTCAGAGTAATGCTGTAACAATAGAAGTAAGTGATGGCCTTTTAAAAGATGTCTTAAAGTCTCTCCCAAACACAGCAATGGGAGTGATTAGGGGAGCTATTCGTTAAAAACGTCTTCAAAGCTGTATAGACTGGGAGAGTGATAAGTGAGTGAAGTTCAAATGTTTACTCAATTTTCCACAAAAATGATCACCAGTTTAGAGCATAGAACATGTTTCCATGATCTTCCAAACCTGAAACTCAACCTGAAGTTTGTAGAAGCACTAAACTACCATGAACAAATTGTTATGATTTTGTTCAATCCATATCCAATTAAAACTATTAAATAGTGTGTAGATATGATCACAAGGCACAATTAGCAAAATCAAAAACATGAGCCCCAACTGCTGAAAGTTTCATTCAGTAATCGTACCTTTATTTTACACATCCCTCTCAGTATTGCATACTTACCAGTAGCTACGGGACCCACAGCCACAATCAATGTTTTACAACTGATAGTTTTATCTGGAGATTTGGAAATTTCCAATCTAATTTCTGGACACCATCGCAGGACTGGCTGACTGTGAGATTGATGAAAAAATGTCAATAGTAAACCTTACGGCATTGAAGAAACACAAACTTAGTGAATTATTTTAAATTAACAAACACACAAAGCAATGTAATTTAGTACATACATGTACATACATGTAAAATATAATTTATAGACATAGAACTGGAACTAGAAAAGGATAGATTCCAATCAGAATACACTAGATGAATAGATTATACATATGTAGATGTCACACTCAATTTTGTCAATTTTGATTACATGTGCTGTAACTGCATAGTATCATAATTGAGCAAAAATAATATGAAACAAGCCATGCATGGCACAGTCCCTGTTAGTTATCAAACTTAAGATATATAATTTTGTTAATAGTAATATTGAAGTATTGATCCAGAAGCTGATGCTTGATTATGGTGATTTTTTAACACTGAAATGATTGAAATTCAGTCATCTTGTATCTGATCGTCAAATGAGTACTTGATCATATTGAGCATGGAACAGCATTAATTAAAACAAAATAGCCACCAGTTGTCTATTTTGAATACATCTGTATATCTATAACATGAATGAATATATAAATTTTCAACATAATCAGTCGAATCATGTCAAAGATACGGCTCCAGAACTACATTCATTGAAACAAAATGGTCGCCAGTCAGCCATTTTGAATCAGATTTGAAAAAAAAATAAAATGACATGCATCAGGGACCCATAATGTCATATGTATGTTCTATGTTTGAACAAAATCCATTCATAAACGACCAAGATCTGGTTCCACAATGCTAGAAATGCTTTATTTTTGATGATTTTTTAGCACTAAAATGGCCGCCACTTGGCCACTTTAAATTAGATAGTCAAACAAATATATCTGTACATCTATGACATAATCTATAATGAATATATAAAATCTTAATATAATCAGTCAAAGCATGGCAGAGACATGGCACTAAAACTGCATTCATTAAAACAAAATTGCCCAAGTCGGCCATTTTAAATCTGATATGAGAAACAAAATGACATGCATTGATCATGCATCAAGGTATATTTTCTACATTATAACTCAACTATGTTTTGTTATTCGTAAATCGAATGCATTGCATTTTATGGATGCAGAATATTTTGAGAATGTGTAAATCACCAAAAGCAACGTGAAAAAAAGAATAGTGAATAACTTAGTGTGTATGTAAATGATATGCAAATTAATTAATATACAAATATATGCTTTTAATTATTTTAACTGGAATTAATTTTTCGCTGAAAAGACATTTTGGGTGTTTTGTATGAAATTTATTTTCACTGATTTTTGACAAGTTGAATGTAAAATATAAAAAACAATCCATGCATGGCACAGTCCCCGTTATCAAATTTAAGATATATAGTTTTGTTTATAGTAATATAGCTGGAATATAACTATGTCAGGAATATGATGTTTTAACATTAAAATGATTGACAATTGTATCTGATCATCAAAAAAGTACTTGTCCATATTCAGAGATATTGCTCTGGAACAGCATTCAAAATCAGCCATTTTGAATACATGTATATATATAACATGATGTATAATGAATATATAAAATTTTAATATAATCAGTCAAAGCATTTAAGAGATATGGCTCTAGAACCCTGATCATTAAAGCAAAATGGCCGTCAGTCAACCATTTTGAATCCAATCTGAAAAATAAAATGACGTGCATCAGGAACCCGTCTCATGTATGTACCAAGTTTGAACGAAATCCATCCATAAATGCTTGATATATGATGATTTTTTAGCACAAAAATAAATACCATTCAGGCATTTTGAATAGGATCGTCAAACCAATATATCTGTTTATCTATGACATGATGTATAATGAATATTTAAAATTTGAATATAATCACTCAAAACAAGTCGGAGATATGGGTCTAGAAGCCCATTCATTAAAACAAAATGGCCGCCAGACAGCCATTTTGAATCCGATCTGAAAAATAAATGATGTGCATCAGGAACCTGTAATGTCTAATATATGTACCAAGTTTGAACGAAATCCATCCATAAATGCTAGAAATGCTTGATATTTGATGATTTTTACACAAAATGGCCACCATTTGGCCATTTTGAATA